TGTGTGTGTGTGTGTGTGTGTGTGTGTGTGTGTGTGTGTGTGTGTGTGTAAGATGCCAGAAAAATTTTGTTTCTAAAGATTCACATTGGAATCAGGCTTATTTTGAGCATCACTGGAAAATAACATCCTCCCATCAAACACCCCATTCATCTGGGCTTTCCTGTCAGTGAGAGCCGTGCGCCACATTCCTGGCATAGAGCTGATGACAGTTGCATCAGTGCACCAGAAATGTGTCCACTACTAATGCATTCATGAAATAAAGCACGGGTTCATTTAAAGCATTTGGGCAAACAGAATAGAAGGCTGTGCATAAGAGCTACGCAGAAAAACAGGTCAGATGCAAGCAGCCCAACAGAGGTTGGATCGGCCCCTTTGTAACATGGTGCATTGTTTTATGAATTGAGATTAACCCTGATCAAACTCCCAAAACATGATAGCCAGGTACAAGAAAGATCTGTTACCATTTAGCCTATAAGTGTAAGCCTGATAATTCAACAATATTAAAAATTGAAGGAGAGGACTCGGTGCTTTCCTCTTAACATTACCTAGATGTATTCAATAGCTGTTTGACAAGCAATGAGCAGTCTGATTAAACAATCCTTTTCCAGAAAGGCTATTGATCCTCTTTCTATGTAGCTGCATTTTAGGCAAACATAATAATTGCTGCAATTAGGTCCCTGTCTCAGGTGGGCTTCTCTAGAAGTAGAGCCTAAGATGGGTATTCTTTGCAAATGTGTTATTAGGAGGTGCTCTTAGGAGGTGGAGAGAGATACAGGTTAGGGCGAGGGTAGGAGTTGAGCAAGGATGTGACCCCGACTGCTTAGCCTGATGTGGTCAGCCTGATTTCCAGGGGTCCACTATGGCACAACTTACATTAGCGTCATCCCAGCTTGAGGGAGGGGCCAGATTATCTGTGAGCCCGTAGCAGCAGCTGGGGGATGGATGCACTGGCCAGGTGAGGGGCAGGACGTTATCAGATCCTCTATAGTAGCTAAACTGATGAGACTAAATCTCTAGGAGCCATGCTGCCTCATAGAAGCTGTGGTTCTCATCCCAAGATGACCTCACTAAGGATATGATGGCATAACCATGGGGCCCTCACGTGGCCTCTCTAACCATCTTTTCCTCAGCTGTAAAATGGAAGAGGAGGGCAGTACAGTTGGATTAGGTGATCCCTATACTCCCAGCTCCAAAATGCAATGATTTCAACAAGGGAAGGGGGTAGGGAGGCTCACTAACGAATAACAGAAGTCGTTTCTATTCATGGAAGGGAGTTAATTAATGTAGATGGATCCCTGAATGACAATTTCACAAAGTCCTCTCCTCTCACCTGGAATAACTCTGGACACACAGGCAAATCTGAGAAGACAGGCAGTAAAGTTGACCCAAAGGCATAATTTCTAAAAAAGGATGGTGCCAGCTCTGTTTTCAAAGTGCTTTCAAGGCAGTTCACCTCAAGGGAGCTCATTGCAACCAGGCAACCTCATTTCACTGAGTCCGGCATCAAAGGGAGTGAGAGGCCAGAGGCTAAAGCGTGAGCCAGAGACTGTCCTTTGCAGACACAACCTCTGTGGAGAACAATTTAGCAAAATCTATCAATTATAAATACATTTACTCTTTGACCACACAGCCCTCTCTCTGGGAATTTATCCTCCAGGACAGGTATATATGTATATGAAATGGCATTTGTAGAAGTTTATTCATTGTGCTACTTTTTCAAAAATAGTCCAAGATTGGAAACAACTTCATGGTCCATCCATAAAGGACTATTTAAAAACAACAGCAGCCACTATGGTACCTTCCATACAATAGCATACTGTACAACCAAGAACATTCCGTGCTGATATGGAAAGTTCCCAGGAAATACTGACAAGTGAAAAAATGAGGGGAAGAACGGTATAGATTAGTAGGTAATTATAAACACATATGCATGTGTAAGTGTGCTTCTTTCTGTGTACAAAATGGAGGTAATAAGATTATATACTTATATTCAAGTGTATCCATGGATATCTGAAAGTTGGTTTTTGTGTATCTGGAAAGATACCAAAACAAGAGAAAAACTTCTATGAGTGGTTACCTATAAAAGATGAGGAAGTGGGAAAATGGGGTGGATAGAGACATAAGAAGGATTGAAAATTCTCACCAATTGCCTTTTTATAAATGTTTTTCTGGATTTCTTCCAATCACCATAGGTTGGTTCTTCTATAAGGAAATTAGAGCAGCTGTTTGCTTTAAAAAATAACATGAAAGTTTAAAAGGCAGGCATCAATCAAAGCTGGTCATTCCAACTTACTTTATTTCATGCTTTAGTTTTCAGTGATTGGCAAACTATGGACAGTGGTAAATATGCACAGAGACCATATGGCTCACCAGGCTGAAAATGTTTAGTGTCTGGCCCTTTACGGAAAGTTTGCCAAGTCCAGCTTTAAATTACAGAGTTGTTTGTAAAACAGCTATGACTACACCTATGAGTGAGCTTCAGGTACTGGAGGGTTTTGTCTTCTTGAAATCAGCTTTTCTGACCACAGATAGGTTATGCACCAAGAAAATGAGGCCAGGATATCTTACCAATTAAGAGGAGCATGAACTCTGGGGACAGACAGCCCAAGTTCGAATCTGCCTTGTGCCTCACTGCCATGTGTCCTGGCACAACTTAACTTCTCCAACTCTCAGTTTCTTTCTCTATAAAGGTGGGTCATGATAGCACCTCCTTCATAGTGTTGTTTGGAAGGTTAAGTATGTTAGTGTTGGCAAAAAGTTGAACACAATACCTTTAGTATTATCATCTAATATTTTGATATTTTTTTTATAAACAGGGTGATGACCAGTTAAATATATTTGGAGAGGACGCCATGGGAGGTGAGTTTCCTTTACTAAGCAGACCAGTGTTGTCATTTTAGTGGCTTTGAGTATGTATTTTTTATTAAACACCGATAAAGAGATAATAAACTACCAATAGCATGGACTTTTCCCTTAGGCAGAGAACACGGTTAAGATGGAAACCCTTTGGCTCTCTCCCCTCTTGGTCCACGTAAAGAACCTCAGGGATGCCTAAGAGATGCATTTCCTCGCTGCCAAGAGAACCTGACCCCTACATACTAAGTGAAAACAGGATGCTCTGGTAAAATATGTTTGGCAAACACTGAGCACTCAGTTGCCTTTGGAAGAGTCACATATATGATAGCACAGCAAGGCTCCCACAAGTCTTGCATTTACTGAGAGCCAGCTAACTTTTCTTCACATTTATTGGAACACAGTCATTTCCTTGCATAGTAGTTACTATTCTGTGGTGTACCATTGGTATGCAACCTAAGAAACATCCAAATTATACTGCTTTATAATTTTTGTCATGTTAAAAGTCTTACAAAAATGTAAAAATCCAACCATAATTAACTACACATGAAACTGAAAATAGATAACATTACGTGGATCTGAGATTGTCCAAGAAAGATAAGGTTCATGATTACCCTAGTTAAAACACCTTCTTACATCTCCCCTCTGTAATAAATGTTGTTATAGTTATGATCCATGGAAATATGTGTATATTGACTGTGAACACATACAAGTAAATGATTTGGCTTTCTCAATAACTCCCGTTCCAATCCTGCACTAACCCATGAGCATGAGGTAGTAGATAAACTGCCACTTGATGATAATGGCAATAGCAATATGTGGAAATCTCAGTCGCCAAATGACATCATGGTGATGCATGGGGAGGCACGTAAACATGAGCCAAGTGCAAATAATCAGCTCTGTCCCCACTGGATAGGTATTGATTGATGGTCTAACAAAGTTTCCTTTTTTCCTGGTTAAAAAAGTAATACATATTCATGGTGGAAATTTTTTTTTTGAAGTAGAAAATAAGAGTCATCTAAAACCTTATGACAATATTCTAGTATATTTTATTCCAATATGTTGTCTACTCATATGTATCTATTTTTACATAGTTGAGAATACATGTGTATATACAAATATTATCTCCAATTTTTTCTGCATGTCATAACATAAGCATGTTTCCATGTCATTAAAAACTCTCTATAACCTGAATTTGTAATGACCGTTGCATGAATGTACCATCATTAATTTTAAAAGAATAGCTATTTTTTTTAAACTGGAATAGAATACAACTATACCAAATCATCATAATAGTAACCACAGCCACTTTCCTAGGTTGCAAATAGATTAAAAGTTGCTCAGCTTCATAAAAGTAAGCTGGAAGTCCAGGGAACATGAGAGAACCATCTGGTCCCGCATGTTAAGAGCACAATGTATTTGCCTTCAATAGAAAGCTCCAGGTAACACAGGACTTTTCCAATCACCACGGGCTACTCTGTAAAGAGACTGGAGCATCTCTTTGATTAAAAAAAAACTTTAAAAAAAAATTCGTCCTTCAGTGTGAAAACCAAATGGTTCCAAAGAGCCCAAATTCACTTTTTTCCTCTGCTTCCAGCACTTTCTCCCCTGTCTCCTTCCCCTTCTATTCCCAACCTAATTCTTCATGTTTCTCTCTCTCTCCCTCTCCCTCCTCCTCTTCCTCTCCCTTTCCCTCTCCCTCTCCCTCTTCTTTGTCTTTCCCTCTCTCTCTCTGCTGAGTTGGGCCTTTCACTCAACTAATAGTGGATTACTATAAAAAGGTAGCATTGTATATATAAATGAACCACTCCAATTCCACTAAGAAGTAGGTTTTATAACTCTCAGAAGAATGATCTAACTTTCAAAAGCGCTGATCATCCACATATGATATGAAGTATAAGTCAGAGTCCTATAAGCCCATTTTAAGTGTACAATTGTAATTTTGTCACCAAGATGGGAAAAGAAAACATTCTTCTCTCTCTCCGGGTAATCACATTCCCTGTCATTTTAGTCAACTCACACCCATAGGATCAGCAAAAGCAGCTACTTCCTGAACCAGGAAAAGAGCCCAGAGCTCTAGACTAGGAACTCAGGGCTGACTCCATCTAGGCCTGTCCCACTTTCCAGGGCTCTCCCCACTGAGAAGGCTGCTCTGGGAGTCTTCCCAGCCCTGGACCTGGAATTCACACCCCAAGAGTCCAAGGTTCCAACAAAAAACACCTAATACCTTTGTGAACTCGAGTGTCTTTACTTTAAAACTACATGCAAAGTTTTCATGAATTAAAAAAAAAATCACAGTATCCTACATGGTAATATATTACTGTCTATTCAATGTATCTGGCAGTTTGAAAAGTATTACCCTTAGCATAGGGGTTAACAAGAATAATAAAGTGTTAAAATTATCTTCAGTTACTCTATCTGCAGTCACATCTGTCCCGCTGAGGGAAGCATTCAGCCTCAGATGTTGTTTTGTGTGTCCAGCATGATGCTCTAAAAACTTGACTTTGAATGTTAACTCTTTTTTTTTTAATTTTTATTAAATTATTTTTTATTATGAAATACACATTTTTTAGAATTCATTTCAGCTGTACAACACAGTGCAATAGTTATACTTTTTACCCCTCGAAGTTACAACCCCCCTCCCCCAATCTGCCACCCCATTTCCCCCCAATATTGAATGTTAACTCTTGTTACCACAGTCCACAACACTCCACACCCACCTACCTCACTGGTTTAGAATCTTTGCCTGGCCTTTGCCTAAGCACATAAAAGAAACCTTTCTGAAAGTTCTTGTTTGAAGAATCAGCCTGCCAACTCCATAGGTGTTAGACTAGGCTGCTTAGAAATTAGCCCATTGGAGGATGGACCTGAACATGGTGAGTATCTGAATCTCCTAGGGCCTGCTTCTTAGCTTTCACCATCCTCATTTGCTCCAATGGCCTCTAGGTTGGAGCAGTACCTCTCCTTAAGTGGCTTTTACAGGTTCTCATTGAACTTCAGAGCATCCTGAACTAGCCTACATCTGCGCTCCTGGCCTGCCCAAAAACTCTGCCTCCAGGGCGGAAGCCTGACCTGCCCTGGCACAGTGGAGTAGGCAGCCTGCTAACTCCCCTTGTGAGAGTGGGTTCAACTCTTGAGCACATGTAAAATCTAATCTTCATAAATAAAGTCCTATTGTCTTAAAGCAATGGTGAATTACTTGTCTATGCTCCTTGCTGAAACAGTCTTAGGTAGGACTGCTATTTCCTCTGTCCTCAGGTCCTCACTCTAAACTGGTTGTCTTTTATTAGTTTGAGGACCCCTGCTTCCAGACTCAAGCAGTAACCACTGGCATTTTCCAAGCCCAGACACCCTGAGCTCACAGAGCCATTCCCAATTCAAGTTTTTCTCTGTGGTTATCTCTTTAGGTGACCTTACTCTCACCCCAGGTCTCTTAGAATTTTGGATTATTTTAGGAAGATATCTTAAACATACAACAATAATAACATCATGTCCCTTGTGGCAAGGGACAAAGAGGGCCACTTCCTTGTGTGGCCTATTTATTTAGAGCAAGCACAGGTATTTGAACCAAAAGAGACATTAGAGATCATGGGGTCCAACACCTTTATTTTACAGATGGAGAAACGGAGGTCTAAGGAGAGTAAGTCACTTGCTGAGGTCAAGTCAGTTGACGACAGGACCAAAAATAGAGTTACTGCCAACCCATCCCCCATGGCTACCTGCTACACCACATAACAACTGAAAACCTTTTAGAGCTCCACAAGCTCTAGAAGATTTCATACTTTGCCAAAATTCCTAATCATTTCTTTGCCTTCAGCAGTGGTTCCCAAAATTTAGTCCTCACTTGCCACCTTCTTGATTTTTGCTTCATCTCTTTGTGCTACTTATTATTCTATATTATTATTTACTTCATATTTTTCTGTAAATTGACTCACTGTTATTAGTTATATACATTTATTTTAAAAGGAAATTTTATATCACTACCTTAAATGGAAAATAGCATTGTTTTCCGTAAATAACAACTATTTTTAAAATATTGTCTTCAAGACTCCCTAGTTATGTCTTAACCCTTCTTTATTAAAAGAGAGATTACAAATGTTTACAAATGTGAAATAACTCAAAACTGAGACACTCAGAAAATTTTCTAAATAATTTTTTTAAATTATCTTTCTTTGTGACTCATGCTATTTAATGCCTTACCAGTTTTGCTACCTAAAAGTGATATTGCATGTTAAAATGAAAATATGTTATCTGGGTCTGGGAATAAGGCTGAAATGGTCATCAGTGCCTTTTAATTATAGCCTTAACACATTTACTCAACTTCAAGCTTCTTATCAAAAAATACTACAAGATTTTGGTTTTTACATAACATGAGTAAAACACAGTATTTCTTGCTAATAAATTATTCTTACTTTAAAGGTGTCATGGAAGATTTGAGGAAGTGTAAAATTATTTTCATAATTGGTGAGTAACAGCCTCAAATTTTCTAATGCAATTGCTAATAACAACTTGGTAGAGAAGAAAAGCCTATTCGTTTCCCACCCTATTTTTGAAGTCTTGCCACTTTCTTGGTTAAGATAACACATAGACACAGACACACACACACACACACACACACAAACACACACACCCAGGCTTTCAGATTGCTGCTTTCATTTACACAGTTTTATATTACCTTAGGTTTTGTATCTTTTCAGCATAGACAAAGCAGGACTCTAAGTGGGCCCTTCCCCATTTACCTAAACTCAGTTGTATGGGTTGATACTTCAACTGTCTTCCACATTCAATCACCAACCAAACACTTACTGAGTTATGGGCCTGTGCTGAGCAATCAGCAGGGATCACAGAGCTTCCATCTTAGATGACAATAAGAACTAATCAAACTATTATCACAAAATTAGGAGGCATACAAAGAGCTGAAACAGAGCACCTGGTGGAGTGTTTGGGGTGGAGATGGGTGATTATAGAATAGATTGATCACGGGAGGCTTCCTTATGTAAGCAACATTTAAGCACAGAACTAAAGGAAGAGATGGGGTGACTGAAGGGATTGATGGGAGGTGAGAGAAGGAAGAATTCCAGCCAAAGAGAATATGTCTTAAAGCAGAGACAATCCTTGAGGCCAACCTGAGTTCTGTTTCTGACCTGCTTGCCTCTAGTTGACCGTAACCTTGGGAACTGGATGGACTCTTGCCACACTTATTTCACATTCTTTTCAGAAAGTAAAAGTACACTGTTTCTCCTTACTAAAGAGAAACTCATCATCATAACTTCAAAGAAAATTCCCTTTCCACATAAACTTTAATCAGTTTTCTTGGCATCAAGGCCAAGATAGTAAATTATACTTTCTGTTTAGCTTTTATCTTAGGGGCCAAATTAGGAAGAGGGAAGACCTTTAAACTTGGTGTTCAGAAATCCAAAGAATGAGCCTTTATTATCATGTAGATGTCTGCATTATTAACAATGTGGTCCAAAAACACTTCTAAAAATAATTTAGCTTTGTTGTTACTGACTCTAGCATTTATATTATTTCAGATTTACCCATTGTTTAGCACTCACAATTGAATTTTGATATGTATTTTCAAATGTTGCTTCCATCTGTCTAGATATAACTAAAGGTTTCAGCTCATCTGTTTCTAAGTCCTGTGACCTTTAGAAGGTCAAATATTGCAATATAAAATCTTTGGCATCACACAAAGCTTGAGACCCCCAAGGGGTCTTTACAGACCATATTCTGAAAACTGCTGCTCTGAACAAAATGTTTTTCTTATATCCAACCAAACTCTCCTGCATTTCAACTTGTTGGTCAGTCACTATTATTGTGAAAAAAGACTTCAGCTTACTGTTTGGGCCATAGAAGATACAAAGCCAGTGTGATATAAGGGAAAAATAATTGCTCTTTTTCTAGGGTATTTACTGAACTCTGCTTGAAAATTAAGGCTTTCATTCTAAACACTTCTTCGACAGATGGTAGAGTGGTATTTGGGGGCTGTATTATTGCAGGTCAGTTTGAGCTTATAAAAATACTCGGGATGTAATAGACACACCCCTAGCAGTTTTGATTAATTTTAATAAACAAGAGTCAGATGATTTCAATAAAACAAGTATGGGTTTTTTGTCTATGTAAGAAGATGGCTGGATTTTTCGTTTTTTATATGATTATCTTGGTATCTACCAGAACAACAGTGGAGCTGTAGTATTAGCAGAGGCTAGGCTGACATCCTCACTGTTAGTCATAAGGTAAAATTAATATTCCCAAAGCACTGTTCCCATTTCAAAGTAACCATTGGTTCCCTTTTGTCCAGAGAAAGGGCCAAACTGGCCTTCAAAGCTCTCTCCCTACTGGCCTCAGAGTGTCTTTCCCATTTCCCACTGCACTCCAACTCTGCCTCCAGCCACACCTGCATCATTATTATCTCTTGAACTGTTCTGACTTTTGCCAACCTTTTCACTTGAAATGTCTTCTCCCCTCGCTAATCATGCCCCAAGGTCAGGTTTAAGTTCTAACTCCCTGTGACGTCTTGTCTAATCACCAGCCTTCCTCCTCTGTGCTCCTTCACCCCTTGTGTCTGCATCACTCATTTAGATACCCCATAATGACTAGAACAACAAATATTTGTTGGAATAATGACTTCTTTAGAAAGCAGTGTGGTCAGTTTCCATAACAACCAAACTAGTGATTGGGATTCCTGGAATGGAACTGACAGGCAGGTTGCTGCTATAGCTGTTTCTGGCAGGATGGTTTTCAGGCTAATTATGAGCCTAATCAGATGCTCCTTACCCCATGTAGCTGCCACTCTCTTGCTGAGAGCAAGCAATACCAACTTCCCCCCTACCCTCGCACCTCCACCTAAGCTGATGGCATTTCTTGCTCATTTGCAAAATAGTTATAAGTGGTGGTAGGTAATAGCACTGTCATCTGAGTAGAAAAACAATGTTCAGGGAAAGTGGGACAAAGGCAAAGCAAGGGTGGCAAGGACGGACTTAGTTGGCCATCTGAATGTTGTGTGACTGTCACTTCTTGGTTCATGAAGAAGCAGCTCAGTAGCTTTTTACATAGAAGTACCTTCCAAAGGACACATAAGAGATCTCCCAGAATAGGGCCTGGTGATCCAAAGGATTGAAAAGCGTCCTAAGGACTTCGGTTGTTCACCCACAAGATATAAAACTGAGACTCAGTCATTACTGGAAATGGAAAAATATTTGGAAAATGTAAAAATACCCTTTAACGAGCCTCATTATATCCCATTAACAGGATTCCATAGTTTTTCACAACCTTTTCTGGTACATTTCTCTCCTTTTTTCTTTTTTAATCTCTTGATCATTACCTTGCTCTAATCCAATCTCCTTGGCTTCTTTTTCCTTTCTCTGCTTTTCATAGCCCGCCTGTGCCCAAAACAGTAACACAATCTGAATTCCCGTTAATTCCTACCCAAAGCCTTGGTAGAAGTGCTTCAATTTGCAAAATCATCTGACTTTATAGGTGAGGCGTGATACTAATGGCATAATGATCAAGACGTCACTCAATGGCTATAAATTTCGGTGTCTGGGACGCATGGCTTTGTGTATCTTGGCACTGATGCTGATAAACTGCTTTTAAGTAGTAAGCTTTGGGAGGTACTTGTATAGTATCTTTGTATTATTCTGTGCATTTAACAGCTGCACAATTTGTCCTATTTATTTCCTGGAGGAAAACTGGAGAAATGAGAATTTTGCTCAAAGCAGTGTCTGTCATTAGTTCATTATAGCTCTATTGTCATTTCATTGTTACCCTATTATTAAAGAACTATGAATAAGTCTAATTTTTAGAGAGTATTTCCTTGGGGCTCAGGTTGAACATTTTTGGTGGAAATGACTCACATATTTGGTTAAATTAAAAATGAATAACAAATCTGATTGTTTTAACTTGATGCAGCTATACTAGAAGCCAATGTCTACTTGAATACTTAACACACGCCAAGCACTATATAAAATGTTTTATAATATTACCTTATTTAATGCTTGTATCTACCCTATGGAGTATTATCACCATCCTGACTTTTCAAGTAAGATGTTAGAGAGTTAAATAATTCACTAGTAAGTGATGGATCAGGGCTTGAAAGCTTGGATTTTATTATTAGCAACAAATGCTGCCAGTTATTTCCTTGGAGGGATGCCTTCCTTTATTTCTTTTTAAGAAAATGTCTGCCAAATACTCAAGTCTGAAAAACCATAACTTCTATGATAGTCAGTCTTGCAGAAAGTAAAAATGATGTTCAACTAAAAAAGCAACTAGTTAAGCATCTCAAACAATCACACAGTGCTTTTCCTCAAGAAAACCATTATAACTAAGTGCGCTGAAGTAACTTTTGTGTGCTTCTCATTTTGTCGCACAAAGTATTACAATGAAGTGTGCATCAGAGTTGAAATTCAATCAATATTTTTTACTGCTCATCAAATGCATTCTTAAGTAACAGTTGCATTTTATTTCTTTTTTTTTTTCTATGAGTTCACAATGGTGAAGAATACATGACTAGCAGACTTGGTGCTGCTGCCTTGATTTGCACTGCAGTTTTACAACCATTGCCTCTGCACCATCAGTGAAAAGCAAATAGCATCTTAGTGTTGTAATCAAAATAGGGGACTCCCCCCTAAGGGTCTGTGGACCTTACTTTGAGAACCACCATCCTAAGGCTAGTAGGGAGGGGGCAGGTGTTGAGCAGGTATATGAAACCCCGGACTTAGCATTGGTAGATCTTGGAGGAAAAAGTCTCTTGTGCCTTGTTTTCACTTGTCCTTTCAAAAGCAAATAACTCACAAATGTGAGGAAGGGATTTGGAAAAAAGGGGTGCATCTACTAAAAGCCCCTGTTTCTCTGGGCTCCTGTGGTTCTGGAAAAGTTCTTTGTACCCAGTGGTGGAAGGGGTGCCTGAAAGGAAAGCCTGGGTGCTTGTCAGAATTCAGCAAAGAGGAATGCATCAGTAGGACCAGCAGGAGACCCCAAAGCAGAGACTGGAAAGTGGAAAGGGTACACCCCCAGAGATCCACAGTGCTGGGAAAACCAGGACTGGAGGAAGGGTAAAGAAAACCCTTGAGGTGGGAGAATAGCCCTGACATGGAGACTGAACTTTGAACTTGTCTAAATATGCTCAGGTTATTATAACAAAATACCATAGAGTGAGTGCCTTATAAACTATAGAAATTTATTTCTCACAGTTCTGAAGGCTGGGGAGTCCAACATCAAAGCACTGACAGGTTCAGTGACCAGTGAGGGCCCACTTCCTGATTCACAGTCTTTTGCTGTGCCCTCACAAGGTGGAAGGGGTGAGGGCGCTCTCTGGGGCCTCTTTTTTAAGGGCGTTATCCTATCCATGAAAGTTCCATCCTCATGGCCTAACCACCTCCCAAAGGCTCCACCTCCCGATACCATTACATTGGGCTTTAGGATTTAACATATTAATTTTGAGGGGATACAAACATTCAGCC